CTATCAGATGTAGAATTCAAAACATTGGTTATTAGGATGCTCCAGGAACTCATTGGGTAATTTAACAGGGTAAAAAAGATCCAGGGAGAAATGAAGGTTACATTAAGTGAAGTGAAAAAAATCTACAGGGAACAAACAGTGGAGGGGATGAAGCCAAGAATCAAATTAATGATTTGGAACATAAGGGAAAAAAAGCATTCAGTCAGAACAGGAAGAAGAAAAAGAATTCAAATAAAAAAGGATAGGCAAGGAGTCTCTGGGACTTCAAGAGATCCAACATTTGCATCAAAGGGGTACCAGAAGAAGAGAAAGAGCAAGAAATCAAAAACTTATTTGTAAAAATAATGAAAGAAAACTTTCCTAATTTGGTGAAGAAAATAGACATACAATTCCAGGAAGCACAGAGAGTCCCAAAAAAGTTGGATCCAAAGAGATCCACACCAAGACACATGATAATTAAAATGTCAGAGGTTAAAATAAAGAGAGAATCTTAAAAGCACCAAGAGGAAAGCAGAGTTACCTATAGAGGAGTTCCCATAAGATTCTCAGCTGATTTCTCAAAAGAAACTTTGCAAACTAGAAGGGACTGGCAAGAAAATATTCAAAGTGATGAAAAGCAGGGACCTACAACCTAGATTACTCTATCCAGAAAAGCTATCATTTAGAATTAAAGGGTAGATAAAGTACTTCCCAGGCAAGATAAAGTTAAAGGAGTTCATCATCACCAAGCCATTATTATATGAGATATTAAAAAGAATTATATAAGAAAAAGAAGATCAAAACTATGAACATTAAAATGATAATAAATTCACAGCAATCAACTATTGAACCTAAAAAACAAACTAAGCAAACAAGCAGAACAGAAACAGAATCAGAATCATAGATATGGAGATCTTTTGGAGGGTTATCAGTTGGGAGGGGGAAGTGGGAGAATCGAGGAAAGGGTATAGGGATTAAGAAGCATAGTTGGTAGGTACAAATTAGACAGGGGGGTTAAGAATAGTATGGGAAATGGAGAAGTCAAAGAACATACATGCATGACCCATGGACATGAACTAAGGGGGGTATTGCTGGAGAGAATGGAGGTACTGGGTGAAGGGGGAAATAGGGAAAATTGGGACAACTGTAATAGCATAAGCAATAAAATATATTTAAAAAATTATACATAGGACTTTCCAATGTTTGATGGTATTAAAATGTGATATGTATGAAGCATAGAAATCCAATAGTATTGTTTTCTGCACATAATGTAAACATATAATAATAACAGCAATGACATTTCTTCAGATTTTGAAGTACAAGTACCCATTAGTATATATCCAACTACCCTCTTAAAAATGCTGATGTTTCCAATAAGCCATTCCATTGGCTCCACTCTCTCATTTTGTGCTCTTCAGACTTCTTGAGCCTCCGCAAGCAGGTCCAACTCTAGTTGATTTTTATCTTGTTTTGGTCATGTTTCAGAGTCTGTCTAAAGCAAGACAATATATTTGTACTGAAAAAATACTTCACAGAATTAAGTCTTAAGTGTTTTTAAATGCACTAAATTCTCAACTTTCCAGTGTAGTTATATTTTTAAGAAACTGAATTTTGGTAATTAAAAAAAAGAATAAATGAAGAGATTCAAATATACTATACATAGTTTGTGTAGCAGTGATAGTTATATATAATAAATTTAAAAATTGAAAATTCAAGTTATAGTAGAATATTCATTGTTTTTAAAGGGTTTATACATATATATTTTAATGTATATAAAAATTAACAGTAGGTACCTCTGAGAAGTAGGTATACATTGGGAATTTTTCATTTTTATTTCAAGACTTTTAATTTATATTCTTAAATTTGTTACAATTAGCACATTTTTAATGAGACAGATTTAAGTGGGCTATTAGAGTAAAGCATTTTGGAAATTTTATTCAAATATCAAGCTAATAATCATATCTAGGTTCATTTATCCACTTCTTAGGGTTTTTTTTTTAAGATTTTTAAAAAGATTTTATTTATTTTTAGAGAGGGAAGGTAGGGAGAAAGAGAGAGAAACATCAATGTGCGGTTGCTGGGGGTCATGGCCTGTAACCCAGGCATGTGCCCTGACTGGGAATCAAACCTGTGATGCTTTGGTTCGCAGCCCGCACTCAATCCACTGAGCTACGTCAGCCAGGGCTCACTTCTTAGGTTTTTTTAAAAAAAGATTTTATTTATTTTTAGAGAGACAGAAAGGGAGGGAGAAAGTGAGGGAGAGAAACCTCAGTGTTCGACAGATACATCCATTACTTGTCTCTCTCACCGGGACCTGGCTTGTACCCCGTGCATGTGCCCTGACTAAGAATCAAACCATTAATCTTTTGGTTCACAGGCCAATGCTCAATTCACTGAGCCAAACCAGCCAGGGCTACTTTTTAGGTTTCAAAAAGATCAGCATTTAGAGATTTATTTCACAAGTATGTGGTAGTTCTGCCTTACATTATCTATGAATTATTAAACAGGGTCTCCTGAGAGGGAAACTCAAATGTTTTCCTTAGATTAGTATTCTGCTTAAACATATTGGCTTATCAAAAATAATTGTTTGGCTGGTGTGGCTCAGTGGATTGTGTGCTGGTCTGCAAACCAGAAGGTTGCTAGTTAGGTTCCCAGTCAGGGCACATGTCTGGGTTTCAGACCAGGTCCCCAGTAGGGATCATGTGAGAGGCAACTGATCTATTTTTCTCTCTTGCACAATGTTTCTCTTTCTCTCTGTCTCCCTCCTTTCCCCTGTCTCTAAAAATAAATAAATAAAATCTTAAAAATTTTAAAGAAATATTTCATATTTACTCGTATCATTACAACAACCATCACAATCACCACTCCCAAATTACCTGTATAGGAAAAAAAGAAACAACAACTATACTTCTGAGTTAGGTTACAGGAACCACAAGTATAGTTATATAATTGACCTTAAACAACACAGGGGTTAGAGGCGCTGACCCCTGCAGTCGAAATCTGTATAGCATAAGACTCCTCCTGAAACTTAACTACTAATAGCCTACTGTGGACCAGAAGCTTTACCAATAACATAAATAATTGCTTAATACATATTTTGTAAGTTATATGTATTTTATACTGTATTCTTACAATAAACTAGAGAAAAGAAAGTGTTATTAAGAAAATCATAAGGAAGAGAAAATACATTTACAGTACTGCACTGTATTTATCAATACCATAAGTTTGTGCCATCTGTTTACAAGATCAAAAAACCCGTGTGTAAGGGGACCCATACAATTCAACCCATGTAGTTACGGACGTTAGTTGCCACTTGATAGCTGAACCACCAGGCTCTCCCTTTTTTCCCTCGGCACTGCCTTCACCACTGCCTGGCAATGTGAACGAGCAGGAGAGGGCTTCTGCCCCTCTTTTCTTTTAGTGTCCTTCAAAACCACTCACTATAGATTTGCAAAGGAAAAAGGAATGAATCCTGTCCCTAAGGCATGCATTGAACAAGTGTTCTTTATTACAGCATAATGTAGTGGCGAGGTGTACAAGTTCTGGAGAAAGACTGTGTAAGTTCAAACACCAACTCTACCACTTATTAGAAATGTGACCTTGGACTAGTTGTGTGATCTCTGTATGCCTCAATCTTCTCGTGTTTAAATTGGTTTCATAATATTCTCTACCTTGTAGGGTTGTGAGGATATATGATCTAATACATTTACATAATTAAAAATACTGCCTGCCATAAATAACTTAAAATACTGTGTGCCACATGATAAGCACTCAAGAAGTATTAGCTAGTAGCAATCAGCATCATCACCATTTCCATCAGCATTATCATCTTGATTCTTTCCATGCAGCACGAAGCCTTGCCACTAACGGGTCTCTCGAGGTGACAGTTTCCAGGAATAAAAACTTTCCTGAGCCTTGTTGTGGGGTTGGCTCCCTATTTATTGCCCTTCTCTGCCATGTTCCTGGCCGCCAACTGCCCAACTCCTCTCTCTTTCATAAACCACCCTTTCTAAACTGCGGCAACCTGATTGAGGCGATGGACCTTTCCACCCAAATTTTTGTTCACATGTCAAAACTTATGACGCCACACTCGCACCAAAAGGGAATAAAGAGATTTATTACTCACATAATGAGATTTTCTAGAGGGAGCAGTTTAGGCTCCCAACAGCTCTGAAAATGGCTTGAGAGAACAGGGAAGGGCGACTGGCTTGGGGTGCTGTGGTGTTAGAGGGTGGAGCTGGGCTGAGGGTTCCCTTGCGCTGGGCAGGGCTTGGCACTGTTGAATCTTGGGTGCCAAAAGAGGGAGCACTTGACTTTCTTATTAGCTTTCCCAGGTGTAGGGCAGAAGGGGAAATGGGCTAGAGAACTGTCAGCAGTTTAAAGTAAAAAATGGAGCCAGACTGTTTATTACACTACCCAAAACGAGGACTCCACAGCTTTCCAAGGCAGTGACACCTTTCCTGTTGATAAAGGGAGTTTTTTCTGGCCTATGGCTTTAACCACAATTCCACTGCTGGTCTCCCTTTCCCTGAAACACCACAGGACAGAGCATCATTTCTCTTGCTTGGTAACCCCCTACAAAAAAAATTCAGAAATTTACATGTAAAAAAGATCCCTGCTATCTAAATTTATTTCAAAACTTAAAGCCATACATATTAACAGTGTCTTTCCTTACAAATTACATCCACAGCTTTTCCTTACCCTTATTAATCCACAATACTTATATGAAGCTATAACATCAGAGATTATGTTATTCTACTCTACAGCCAAAACTAAAACTCTTAATTGCACACAATTCCAAAGTGGGGCTATGACATGAGTAATACAAGACAATGAGTAGCTTAAAAAGCAATGGATATATTTTGACTTTAGAATACACTCTGTAGGGTATCTTTTATTACCCATGGTAATGAAATTGTTTAATATTATTGAAACATATATCAACTGGTGGTAAGAGAAAACCTCAGAACAGGTAGTGAAGAGAAAGGTAATCAGTGCTTAAGGGAGAACAGAATACTAAGATTCGTCTACCACCTCAGCAGGGGCTGGCTGGGTGTGTCTTGGGCTGCATGTCTAAATATTGACCTGATCCATCTAATCAGTCTCTATGTTGGGTTTCCTAAGAGATTACTACTGAGGCTAATAAAAGAGCTCTTTAACTTTGCAACACCCCTAATTTTGTTTTATATTTTTAACCTATAGTCCCTGTGTTTTGAATAATTTTTTTCCAGAATACTATGCTTTATTATTTCAAAAAATATAAAAACACAACTGAAACACACACATACAAAAGGACTTGTGTACTCTATGGAGAAGGTGCTGTAACTGATGGAAGGTGTCAAAAGTTGTTGGCAAAGTTTCTGAATAATTTTATCTCAAAATGCACTGTGTTTATCATGGAAAAATTAATCTTACTGATTATTCATAAAAGGTGTCTTTTAATTTTTATTCATTTCACTATTCATTGCCTTACTTTAGCAAAGATTTAATAAGATTGGTAGCACAATTATTGTGAAATAAAGCAAGATAATGTGAATTAGAAATGTGTGAGAAAGCAAAATAAAAACAAGGCTAAGATATTACTTAGAATCTAGCACACGGTTACTAGAGAATGGAATTCTGAGAAGTACTATAGATGGTCCAAAAATTTGTCTTTAAGCTTCCTTGCAGCCAATGTGAAAAGGGAAACCCAAACAAATTATGTATGTGGTTTTGGCCACAATTTGTGCTTTTGATCAGCATGCATTAGTCAATATTATCAACATGAGTTCTAACAAGAAGCAAAGAAACATCATTGTTTGGTTACTTTTTTCCAGATTTATCATAAAAAAATTAATGGTACCCATGAGACTTTGAAATAAAAATAGTGTATGGATACCCCTTCCCCTGACCTCCTCTATGAATTCCTAGCTGTCTGGATTCCAACTTGGAATCCAATGGCCTAGTAGCTACTGTGAATCTTTTCCTTCAGATGAAATGTTATATTTCATTTGTCACAGCTAATAACTGGTTTATTGACTATTGCACGCACTCATTGGTCATGTATTGAAGACTTACTTGCAGAAACACTGCAAACACAATATATTTTGGAGAAGATCTTTAAAGACTATCCTACAAAATGTAATTAACCATTCATAGCAAGTATGAGATTTAAGGGGGATCTTTGAGGCACCTAATTAAACAGACTGCACTTCAGTTCATTCAACACGTACTGAAGGAGTGTCAGGCCCAGGTCTGGTGCTGGCTCTGGGTAGACAAGGGTGAGCGTGTTGAGTTCCATGCTCCCCAAAAGCTTGGAGTCTAAAGAAGCAGCTGGTTTCACTAGGTATGGTGTTTCCATGAGGAAACCTATTCTAATAAAACCTTTGCTCTTTTTTCCTCACAGGATGATGCAATTGGCTTTTCATTAGCTTTGTGCTAAGAAGGCATATTTTCTTTTGTGCTGCAAACCTATTTCCCAGCTATGTTGATGGTAATACTTTGGTGGGTTTCATTTTGGATTGACCCAAGAGCTGTTCTGCCAGAGTTTCCCTGCATAAGTCCTTCCACACCTTTGTGAAATGTTAATATGGGAGAAAGGTAGAGGAAGGTCAATGAAAGTGGGTGATAAGTAGAGAGGAAAACAGTGATGGTTCAGTAGGGATGGTTTGAGAAGTGTACTCAGGTCACAGTGTTTATCTTGACAGCCTCAAGCGCTAACTGTACAGGACTCTTTCCTTGGGAACCCAGACAGTAGGTATGAAGGCTACAGGCTGACCAACAGCTGGATGCAGTAAGGGGAGAGGGTAAGATTATGAAGCATACCCAGTGTCACTGTGCAAATCGATCTCTTTTCCCTTCGCGGGAAACCACCCCATCCCTTGCCCAAGTCCATTTCAAATTGCCTGACAAAACTTTTTATTTAATAGAAGAAAGAAACTTCAAACTAATTTTCACTTTACTTTTGGTATTTTAATAAATTACTTCTTGGGAGAGGGGAGCTTGAATTTGGAAACACTACTGCTAGTTAGAAATTAGGGCTCAACCTAAATGCCAAAATCAGAATGAACCACAGTTAAATTTTAGGTATTGTGGCACTTTAGTTAGCAAGAGATTTCAAGTGGAGAGATGTTGTCAGCCTCATTAAGTTTCCACACCAGTGTTATTATCTACTCTGTCTGACATGTCATATGCCACTGTCACACACACTGCTCTGTAGGAACCAGTCCAGACCCACTCAGCTATAATTGAGTCCTTACAAAGGGGAAGGTGCCAAGCTAAGCACTTAGATAACATGTTACTTAATGAGAACCCAAGAGTCAATCCACTTGCCTTCCTGGCTGGTTCAGGGCGGAACGCCCTCATTTTGACTGATTTTGTTCTTTCACCGCTAATGCTCTATCTAGACAGAAGACTGTTATAAGTGGTTCACAGTCATTGTAATTAGCACACAATGCACTCCAGAAAGGGTGATTTCTAAGTTAATGTTCACAAATTGTATGCATACTTCAAAAGATCATTTGAAAGACATAAATGGTCATTAATATTAATACTTTGCTCACCTCTTTCCTCCATTAAAAGCTTCAATCTACAAGCATTTAAAGCTTGAATATCTTCAAGGGAAAAATACCACCTGGATCAATACGTTATTGTGGCTGTTACTTCACACCAGAGCAGCCTTCCCTGACCTCAGTATGGCAGTGAGGCAGTGTAGACCCCAACAGAAGACTAAGGCACATTTCCAGCTCTTGAGACAGAATGGGAAAGTCATTTTATTTCTAATACTTTATGAACATGATTTTCAATAGATTCCTGAAGCTGACTGCCTCACTCTTACACTTTGGCAGTGACAGCAATAAAAGCTGGTTCCAGGGCAGGTTGGGGTGAATGGAGAACTCTGAAATGCATTGAACTTAACCCTGAAATTCTGTGCTTCTTGCATCTATATGTGATCCCTCAAGGTTAGGAAATTGCTGTGCAGATTAATGTGAAATAATATACAAATCAGAAGTGTTCCCCCACCCCCACCCCCACCTTTTTAAAATAAAGAGAACTGCTGTATGCCTACCACCCTCAAGTCTTTTCCAAGATACTTTCCCCTCAGCTCTACTCACTCTACCCAACGCTGTACTACCCAATGCCCTGGCGGGTCTCTGACAGTCTCTCTATCCCACTTGCCTTTTCTCAGTTGCTTCTCCTTCACTTTTTCTGACACACTTGACACAATTAAGCATCCTCTCCAAATTCAGAACTCAGTGTAGTGGTCAACAGCATAGCCTCATCTTCCTCACCAGAAAAAGGAGATTATTAATACTGCCTTCTAAAGATCACCATGAGAATTAAAGAGGAACATTCATGTCAACTGACTCGGCTGATGCCTGCCCCATGGTGTTGGATAAAACTAACCAAACAGCCCTTGTCAGGTGGCTCAGCTGGTTGGAGCTTTGTCCCATACACGCAAGGTTGTGGGTTTGATCCCTGGTTGGGGTATGTGCAAGAGGCAGTTGATTAATGTTTCTCTCTCTCCCCCTCTCCCTCACTCTCTAAAACCAAAATAACATATACTCAGGTGAGGATTAAAGAAAAACAGTAAGTCTGTCTTCATCATTCTGTGATAATCCAGATTTTCTCCTCCTTTAGGTTTTTCTTTTATCTTTACAACTTTTTACTTATTTCTTTGACTCCTTACGTGTGGGTAACTCCCTCCCAAAATTTTATTTTTGGTTCTTTCATCAAATGGAACAAATCTCTTACTTCTAACTGCTCTCCTTATGAGAGTAAATTCCAAATCTATGTCCTTTTCTCAAATTTTTCTCTCAAGATTCAGACAGGTGCTTCCAGCTGCTTTCTGAGTCTCATCTGCAGTTTGGCAGGCACTTGGCACACTTAAAACTGGGCAAACCACTGTTGCCCTCATGTTCAAATCCCATGTATTCTCTTCACTTTTCTTATTCTATTGAGGGCCTTCAATGTCATATTCGCCCCTCAATGTCTTTCTTAGTCTTTGACAATAATTCTCAAACTCTGGTTTTAGACCCATTTACACTTAACAAAAATTAAGAACCCCAGAAAGCTTTTGTTTTATGTTTTTGTTTCAATGTTTATATATATGTATATATATAATTATTAACCATGTTGGCTATTTAAAAAAGAATTTTTGAATATATGTATTAATCCACTTAAAAATAGCAATACTAAATTCATTACAAGTTAACATAAGAGTGTTACACAGCTAAGTGGGATTTGGTAAAACAGAGATGGTAAGGAAGGAAAAAGGGCTTTTTTCACAGACTATCTAATTTGGGGGAACTGGAATCTCCTCTGCTACAAGCCATTCTCTTCTGCAAGACACAAGAAACCCTCCTGTTCCCCAAAAGACTGAAATCCAAAGGCATGCTCAGAGACCCTCCTCCATTCTTATCTGTAGTCCAGGGCTGCTACATAGATGGGTTTCTGTCACTCCTCCTCCCAGCTCTCTCCCTCTCTGGGGCATGCACTTGTGACACAAGCATTTCCATTCCCTTGTTGCAGCTTTCTCCATCTCCTGGGGCTGGGGCCAGTTCTCTGGGACCATTTCACTGCAGCCAGTCATGCTAGGGGCTCAGTCCACCTGGACTCAGCATCCAGGGCTGCTCAGGCCCTTGAGGACCAGTGAGTATTCCTGGCCCCTTAGTCTGTGTGCTGCTCTCAGGGTGAGAAAACGGGCGCAGTCCAGGACCCATGTCACATGGCACCAGGTTGCAGCATCTCATGGGCCTGCTGCTAGCAAGGTGTGTCCCACATGAGCCTGCTCCATGTGTGCAAGCAGGGCAAGGCAAGAGCTGTGTGCTGGCACTGGCATCCCATGGCATTCCATTGGCAGGGCACACGTCCTGTGCTCAGGACTCAGCCTGTGAGCTGGCAGCCGACTATGCCAGCAAGAGGAAGGAAAAAGGGCACCCAAGCAGGGCGTGGTGCCTTCTGGGTCCTGAGAATACTCTACACCCCACCCCAACCAGGGGCAATGGCTGAGGAAGACAGAGCTTCTGCACCCCCACCATTTTAAATCTTTTCCCTCAAATCCTACCATGCCGCTGGAGAGTCCAACTCATTATTCAGTTTGGGCCAACATCCACAATGAGCATTAGCTCACACTGTGTCCCTGCCCCTCCTGCAGCTGCTATGATCTGGAAGCAGGTGGGAGGGTTTTCTAGTCATGCAGGGCACTGTGTTTCTCCCCAGTGTGGGGCCTCACCTGGTTACATGTGTGTTGTGATCTTTTCAACCCCCACAGTATACACAGGCTCTGTGTAAGTGGTGTCACGAGCTGCATTAGTTGCTTACTGTTGCTTTGCAGGTATGGAATCATGCCCCAGCTCTGGTTTTGATCCTGGGCTGCCTTCAGCACTTCCCAACCCCTCTCAGGGGTCTCTCCCCTCTCCAGGCAGTGGGGACAGCCTCTTTCACTGGCTGCTGCTTCAATCTTCTGCCTTTGGGTTTCCTCCAAATCCTCCTTTCTCTGGGGGGCCAGGCTTTCACGCTGGATCAGAGTTTCTCCCTACCCCCAACCAATCTGGCCAGACCCCTCTGTTACAATTCCCACTTCAACACTCTGGACTTTGTAATCTTACAAAGACAAATGGGTGAACATCTCATTCTCTGTAGCTACAACCTCCTGGCCAAGGACATAGTCTTACCTATCCACTGGTTGAGAGCTGCCTAACAAGAGGGAGTCTGGAATGGAGGAAAACCTTCACGTGAGGGAAAAGGATCTTGCAAAGTCCAGGTCCAGGTCAATTGGTTATCCCTGAGAAGCAGCAAGAATGATGTCCAAAGGACAGCACTGCTGGACAGGTCAGCATCCTTGTCATATTCTGGAGGAGACAAATTTGGCAAGAGGGCTAGAAGGCACAGTCAGAACCATAACAACTAAATGACAAAAATAGAGACTAACTCTACAATGTCCCAGATTAAGAAAGAGTAGCTACCTTGGAGGAAGGTGTGTAAGGCATGTCACACTTGTCTGAAGCCCTCTGCCCACTATACCTAACTTAGGCTGAGAGGAATATTTTAGGATTTTCCCCTTTAACACTCCTGGCTCTTTTCTGTCTGAACCATTAGGGCAGAAAAGAAAAGCAGTTTTAAGTGAAGCTGACAGACCACCCCATGCTTCACCAACTCAACCACTTAGTCCAGCCAAACCATTGGATCTCAGGGGGCAGCAATGCAGATGGGCTCCTTTTTAAAAAAGATTTTATTTATTTATTGTTAGAGAGAGGGAGGAAGGTAGGGAGAAAGAGAGGGAGAGAAATATCAATGTCTGGTTGCCTCTCGTGTGCCCTCTACTGGGGACCTGGCCCACAACCCAGGCATGTGTCCCAGACTGGGAATCAAACTGGCAACCCTTTGGTTCACAGGTTGGCACTCAATCCACTGAGCCACACCAGGTAGGGCACAGATAGGCTTCTTAAATAAGGCCTTTACTGTGTAAACAATCACCCAGGTAAGTGAAGTCATAGTCATATGCCATATGTTAACAGAAGGAAGAACACACAGGTTAATTCACACAACAAATCACAAACCAGTCTCTAAGACTGCAAGAGACATTTTGAGAAAATGTCCAGTTGCAAGGCCTTTGCTAGAATGATCTCAGACAGTGACAATTTGACAAATTCTTCTTGCTTATAAATTGAACATCCCCAGTGATGTCACCAGGTGCTGAAGTAATATCTGTATACAGAAACCAGTTCAACTTCCAAGTGAAAACTAAACTTTGAGCACAGTAGGCTGTGCTAGAGTTTAATATCCACAATAGAACATTGTGATTTTCCTTGAAACACAATTTTTCTCCTTAAGATCACCCTTTCTGTTTTCAAAGAGACTGCTTTAAGTCCAGTTTTTAATTTTGCCTTGGCACTTTGCATAAACACAACAAAAGCAATAATTAATCACATAGGCTCTTTAAATCTGCTTTGCTGGAACTCACATAGAGAACTTTTAGACTGAGCTTTAGTCAGCCCTTCAGGGCACAGAAGCCAAACCACACACCTGCCATCAGGCTTTGCCTACAGTACCCAGTTTCCTCAAGTTCTTGAGGTTCCCAATGTGTCTTAAGGTTCCTCCTGGCCATCATTCTGGAAAGCAATATTCCTTCCCTGGAAAGACTGCCACAAAGCATACAACCAAACAAGGTACCAGGCCATTTCTCTGGTGGGCTTTCATTAGCTTTGAAAGTCAATCTCAGTTCTTTAAGGCTTTCTAGTAACAACCCAACTCCAGTCATGCCTCCTTCAGGCATGATACTCCAGTCAAAGTCTTGGTTAACAAAACCACATTTGAAACTGGTCTCATTGGTTTTATGCAAAGAAATTTTATGTCATTACTCACTCATTAAGAATGTCAAATTCTGGAGGGATCAGGTAGGGAGAAAAATACAAAGTATGAAGGAAAATCCTTGTTCTCCAAATATCCATCAAAATTGTACCTCTATCCCTTATACCTTCTATTCCTTAAACCATACAATTCCTTTCCAATCTAATGTGAATTTTTAACAAGCTCTCAGAAACCTCAATTTCCTTTTCAGAACAGAAACAAAACAAAACCTGAAGCAAAGACAAATTTTCAAAATAGGAGGGACTAGAACTAGCCTTAGAACCTTGTCCCAGACCAACTGGCACACCAAGAAGTCACACAGGTGACCTTTCTTAGGTCCAGATGGCCCAAAGCCCCAAAAGTAGAGACATTCTCTCACCTACCAGTGCACCAGCCAATCTCACAGCAGAGACATGACCTCTCACCCTAGCCAATATTCCAATCCGGCACCATGGCAGAGACAGAGGATTCCCAGTGTACCAAAAATAGCAAAGTTCCCCAAGTCCCCAAAAGATCAGAAAACAAGCAAAGAATAGCTGTAATGAAGAGCTAAAGTTCCTTTCCTTTTAAATTTAAAACTTTCACAACCTCCTACATACTTTATAATCATAACTCACTTTTAATCCTTTTCCTTTTTAACGGTGGAAGGACCATGCTCTCACTCTTTATCAGGTAGCTAAAAATCCCTGGATCTGCAAGCACATCTTGTAACTTCTTGAAACACAGGCTCTACAAGAATCCTACTGTGCAATGATTTGGATGCCTGACATATGGGATCTTGTCCCACTTCCCTGACCATTGGCAATAGAGTGCCAACTTCATGATGGTATAGCAATTTAGGGAACCACTTATGGTCATTTTCCCCCATAGACCAAAATGTACCTAGGCCAAACAGTGCTGCAATAGAAATCCAATTCCTCCTTACACATTGGATAATGGCTGTACATAGTCCAGTCCACTACAATTCTGCCCAGTGGGCTCACTCCAGTAGCCAGAATAGAACAACCCTTAATGGCCCAGATGTACAGGCCAAAAACTATGAGCACAATGAGATACCAGACAAATGGGGAGCATACAAGCAGAACTTGAACCTACAACTCCATCTCACAGGCAGGTTTTAGGGTCTCATCTTCTGCCAACCAGTGCTGCAATCGTGGCCCCCGAACCACGGCACCTTAAAACTCTGGTGATCCTCACCCACTGCTGGTGAGGTGTGTCCTGCATGAGCCTGCTCCAACCGTATGAGTAGGGCAAGGCGAGAGCTGTGAGCAGGGCCCTCTCAGCCTCCCCATCCCTAAAATCAATAAGCATGTTCTCAGATGAGAATTAAAAAAAAAAAAGGTTAATATGGTGAAACTGCAGGGCTCAAGGAAAGTGGAGATCCATGGACCAGAGTCTTATAACACTTTTCTAACAATGCCTAGCAGTATCTATGGGTGAGAAGATAATTTTCTAATCCCAACACAGGACCTTTCTTTAAGAACTGGAGATGGCGGCGGCAGTGGTGACACAGCTGGTGGTGCTGGGAACCATGGGAGGCTTGCCAGCAGAGCTTGAATTACTGGGAAGAACCAGGGTCTACCTGAGCCACAGACTTCTATTTCTTTTCCTGAGATACAGTACCCTGGACTGGGCAAAGTGGGGAAGGAAGGACTGTGTGTCTGTGGGTGTTTTAAGGGACTTTGGGATTTTAATGAAGACATTAAGACATACTCTTAGTCATGAAGTGACTAAATGGTCACCATATAATTCAGAATTCCTTTCTTGAAGTATGAGCTTTAATGGGTTTGGAAGGAATACCATTCATCAAGATTAATGTATTTCTACCATGGCTGGTGTGGCTCACTGGATTGAGCACTGGACTGCAAACCAAAAGGTCTGTGGTTCGAGTCCCAGTCAGGGCTCATGCCTGGGTTACAGGCCAGGTTCCCAGTACGGGGCACATGAGAGGCAACCACACACTGATGTTTCTCTCCCTCTCTTCCTCTCTCTATAAAAATAAATAAATAAAATTTTAAAAAATAAATAAATTAAAGGTTAATGTATTTCTAAAGGGTGGCTCAAGACATGTAGCTGTAATACTCCTTGACTTCCAATTCTATTCTTTGAGGCATATATATTTCAGGGTGCTCATCTTTACTCCCCATAATCAACAATCCTTCCTCTCACTCACTACTTTTTTTAATTGCTCATTTTAAACATGGAATATCTAGCACATTAGTTTCAAAATAAATAAGGCTATAGTAAATTAGTTGGACTAAGCACCATTGTAAAGAAAATAGCTGATAATTTATTACTCACTGGTAAATACAGATAATGTGATTCCATTTTATTGGTCCAAACAGTCATCAATTTAAAATACACCACAAGACCTTTTTGGCCTGTAAACTCATGTATTTGTTTTAAACCTGTATTTTGTCCATTAAACTCCACATTACTGTCCATTTTTAAAAATTTGAGTTCTATTTTTCCATATCCAGAAAACCAATAAGAAGACGTTTTAAAGTTTTAAATAAATGAGGTAAGCTAACAAATAGGAACATTAGTTTAGGATTCATTCAACTTTACCAGTGAAATCCTGAAGGGAGGAAGACTTTTGACCTGTTGAAAAGCACAAAATGCCTTCATACTTCCTGGCATAATTCTACTCTCATTTTACAGTGTCTTGTCTCAGAGGTGCTCCATCTGTAGAGATTGGTTTATGATCTTAAAAACAAAGGAAATTCTCTTTACAAGTCCAGAATGAGAGGCAGCGAGCTTGCATGTGAGAAGCATGGGTTCTGCCCTCAAAGAGGAAGGTTATTACAGAACGGACCTGTGGGGTGGGGGAACAAGATACTGTTACCAAATGGACCACGCCCCGCCTTTTCCCAGGGTCCACCTGTACCAGGTTCATCTTTCCCTTTGCCAGGGAATTATAGCTCTGAATGCCAGAGACTGGTGAAAAGGAAAGGACTTATTTATTCAAAAGTTATACACACTTAAGAGTATTAACTTAATGTCTTCATCAAAATCCCAAAGTCCCTTAATACACCCAAACACACAGTCCTTCCTTAACCACTTTGCCCAGTCCAGGGTAGTGTATCTCAGGAAAAGAAATAGAAGTCCGTGGCTCAGGTAGACCCTGGTTCTTCCCAGTAATTCGAGCTCTGCTGGCAGGCCTCCCATAGTTCCCAGCACCACTAGCTGTGTCACCACTGCCACCTTGATCTTTAGTTCTTAATCCAAAATCATGTGGCACCTTCTCTTGGCCCACCAGCAAGTGTCCTGTCACCCCTTTCCTTCCTGTAAGGTCTCTCCTACTCCCTAAGCCATGTGGCAAAGGGAACCCCAAAGCCAGTGGTTCCGATGCACCTGGCTGCTGTGCCTGGGTTTAAATCCCAGCATCAGTCTTCCTCTGCAGCCCCATTTCTGACTCCTCCCACAATTGGCTACACTGCCAGCATCCCTGTATTTTTTCCAGCCTTTCTTGGCTGCCTTAGTAGGCTGCCTTAGTAAGTCTGGGCAGGCGTGGCCCCATGGTGTGGAGCGAACCATTTCCAAGCTCTCACGCAGGTGCTGTAATCAGGGGGAGATGCCTCCCAGTTACGTCATGGTTTGAAGTCACTCCCATCTCCGTGGCTTGAAGCAAGGCCACAGTTACTTAACAAAGCCATGAAACCAGTCAAAAGTTACAGATATGTTAAATGACTGTTCTAGAGATTATCTGCAAAACTGTTGGTATGCAAAATAACTCAATAGCTCTGCTCTACATGTTCCATCCCCCAGTTCAGACTTGTGGGGGTGAGGACACCCTAAATTTTTAATATTTCCTGGACACTCTGAGTTCTGAACCCCATTACAAATCCCTCTTTGGGGAGGGCCCTGGCTGCACCCTGTTACAGTTTCAATCCTACTCCTGACAAAACTCAGGCTAATTACTGAGTCATTCTTAGGTTGCATTTGTTTTCTGCAACACGGGGCTAATATATTTATCTATGTTGTGGTGAGTAAACATTCCATAAAGGCAAGCAAGTTTTATTTAATAGTCTTGGCTTCAGCTATACATACATCTGTGATGTTAACAAACATTTCACATCTCCATGTTTATGTAGCAAGGAATGCAAAAGCATCCACTGACATGCAAACAGTTTCCATTGTTAGGGAAACCTGAACTCAGTGGGACAGTGGCCTGCATTTAATGGTAAGAGCTAGAATAGCATTTAGGTTTCTTTTTTTTTTTTCCTTCAAAACTGCTTCCATTTAATCTTTGCACCTTGAATAGTGTTGGCATTTTATCCTTGAGAAATATATTACTAGCCCCAGTGCTTTAGAATTCTGACACAAAGCACTTACTATGTTGTTAACTCCTTCGGCTTATGTCTGAGGTCAGAATTTGTCTCAAGATGTGTACACCTGTGGATATTGTAGTAAAAATGTGTGCTGCACTGGTTGGCCATGAATTTATGCCTTCCTACCAGTGCCCCAATTTTCTTTTTGGAAATGAATCTTTCTGACATTGTCTATGTCCTTATCTATGTCATTGTCTGACATTGTGTGTGGTCCTCGTGGAGGGTGATTCCAGGTGCCCACTACCCACTAGCAAGCTTGTGACCAAAGAAATTCTCCTGGGACCTTGAAACAAGCAAACAAAGGCTTGACAGAGGGAACGCAGATATTCTAATCCCAGTGAGGGGGTGGGGGACATCTGGGCAGAGTAAAACAAGGGAACTGTGGTTCCTGTCCCCTGATTTCTGTCCCTCCATCACTCCCTTGGTTTCCCTTGTTTCTGAGACTGGTTTTAATGGCCTCTGGCCATTTCTGTGAGGCCCCATGTCTGCTTATCACATACTCACCCTAATATCCTCCCCAATATATCTTTTTTATTCAAGTAGCTAGAGTTGCTTTCTCAAGCTTATCAGCCAGGATCTTAATTACAGTGATGCCATGATTCTGAATCTTATATTCTTTTTTTTTTTAATTTATTGATTATGCTATTACATTTGTCCCTTTTCCCCCCTTCCTTCCCCTCCACCCTGTACCCCCTCTCCCACCCGCGTTCCCCCCCCTTTAGTTCACTCCATGTGCAATTCTTATGAGTTCTTTAGCTTCTACCTTTCCCGTACTATTCTTGCCCTCCCCCTATCTATTTTCAACCTACATTCTATGCTACTTATTCTCTATACCTTTCCCCCCTCCCCTCCTCCCACCCCCCCCTGTTGCTAGCCCTCCATGTGCCCTCCATTTCTGTGGTTCTGTTCCTGTTCTAGTTGTTTACTTAGTTTCTTTTGGTTTTGCTTTAGGTGTAATTGTTAATAATTGTGAGTTTGCTGTCCTTTTACTATACATGTCTTTTTCTTTATCTTCTTTTCTTAGATAAGTCCCTTTAGCATTTCATAAAATAAGGGCTTGGTGATGATGAACTCCTTTAATTTGACCTTATCTGAAAAGCACTTTATCTTCCCTTCCATTCTAAATGAGAGCTTTGCTGGATAGAGCAATCTGGGATGTAGGTCCTTGTCTTTCATGACTTGGAATATTTCTTTCCAGCCCCTTCTTGCCTGTAAGGTCTCTTTGGAAAAATCAGCTGACAGTCTGATGGGAACTCCTTTGTAGGTTACTGTCCCCTTATCTCTTGCTGCTTCTAGGATTCTCTCCTTCGTTTTTACCTTGGCTAATGTAATTATGATGTGCCTTGGTGTGTTTCTTCTTGGGTCCAACTTCTTTGGGGGCTCTCTGAGCTTCTTGGATTTCTTGGAAGACTGCTTCCTTTGCCAGATTGGGGAAGTTCTCCTTTATTATTTGTTCAAATAACTTTTCCACTTGTTGCTCCTCCCCTTCTGGTACCCCCTATAATTCGAATGTTGGAACGTTTAAAGGTGTCCTGGATGTTCCCAAGGCTCTCCTCGATTTTTTTTAATTCTTATTTCATCATGCTTTCCTGCTTGGTTGATTCTATCTTCCTTCTGGTCCACTGTATTGTTTTGAGACTCAGATTCCTTCCTTTCTCTATTGGCTCTCCTCCGCGTATCTTCCTTCATCTCTTTTATGGTAACCTGCATCCTTTCATCTAAATTGCGCCCAAAATCAACCAATTCCGTGAGCTTTCTAATCACCAGCGTTTTGAACTGTGCATCTGATAGATTGGCTATTTCTTGGTCGCTCAAAAGGATGAGTCCTGGGGGACTGATCTGCTCTGTTGCACACATGTCTTATGTCTTTCCCTGTCTCTCCGGTCTGGTCGCTCTTGTTAAGGTGGGGGGCGGAGCCTTAGGTGTTCACCGGGGCTGGGCGCCCCAGTCGCTAGATTGTGACGTTATATGTGGGGGCCGGGGCGGGAGGGAATCAATGGCGGCAGTTCAATTCTCCTGGGCCCAGACCTTTCCCCGGGCTCCTGGGCTGCAAGCTCTGCCCTGGTCCACAATCGCTGCCCCACTGGGTCCGGCAGCCGCAGCTTGCGTACTCAGGGTCCACCGCTGCGTTCCTGCGCCCCGATGGCTGTCGCGCCGATTCCGCGCCAAATTTCCCCCGACCTCCGTGCGCTGCCGACCCGCGCCAGCCCCGCACCCGCTCAGCTCGTTGTCTCCTACCAGTCTGGATGTACGGGTCTACTTCAACTTCTTGGCTGTCCGACTTCCATTCAGATGAATCCCCTGTCGGTTCTGGGTGTTATGCTGACTGTATTTTATTGTTATTCTAATCTTGGTTGTGCGAGGAGGTACGGTGCGTCCACCTATTCCTCCATCTTGCCGGAAGTCTCAGGTTTCTTTTTCTGGAGTTCAAATTGGTGTGAAAGTGGGATTCCGGGAGCTCCCGTGGTGAATTGTCAAATTGCCAAATTGAGTTGGTCTTGATCACAGGAACAGAAAATTCATTTGAAATAGAATAGCTCTGTAGAGTCGTCACTGTCTTTGATATGGGCCTCCCCAGATGAGAACCTCGAAGCGTTATTGTGGAAAGGGTAGAACTGTGCTGGTGAAAGCCATCCACATGCTGTGTCTGCATATTTAGGAGGAAATCACGGTGCTCTTCCTGCTGTTCGGGACTCTGTCTGTTGACATTAAAATGTCCTCACAACTTATAAAAATCATTAAGGATTCCATTTGCACCTCCCTGGTGGGAAGTTAAGAAATAAAACTATGCCAGCCAGTGTACATTTCAAATATTTACAACACTACACTTTCTCTCCAGGCTGTACTTTCGCAGTATCCCTCTGACAAATAAGTGTAGGCACAGAACAGCCTTCTCCAAGGCCATCATTTCATTAAAGAAATCTGAGTCACTTCGTTCTCGGTTGTCCCCTCCCTGTCCCCTCCCAAACCTGATCTCTTAGGTTTGGGAAGGGGGAGGAAGGGGGAGGAAGGGAAGAGAAGGGGAGGGAGGAAGGGAAGAGAAGGGGAGGGAATTGAAGAATTAAAGATAAGTGTATGGAAGATGAGGGGAGGAGAGGGGAAGGCAGAAAAGTAATATTTAGTGGTTTGGTTGGTAAATATTTACACTGAACTGAGCTTCCACTAGCATACTTCCATTCTGAATCTCGGCTGAACTGTGGTTTCAGTAACAAGGGACGAGGTCTTGCAATAATGATGGCTTGTAAGTGTTCTACATGAAAGAAAAATATGGATAATAGCTATCTTTAATGCTATAAAGATCATTCTTCAATGAATAAAAGATTAAAGGGAGACATGACAATTTTTTTTGACAACTTTTTTTTTAAAGATTTTATTTATTTATTTTTAGAGAGGGAAGGGAGGGAGATAGAGAGAGAGAGAGAGAGAGAGAGAGAGAGAGAAACATCAATGTGCAGTTGCTGGGGGTTATGGCCTGCAACCCAGGAATGTACCCTGGCTGGGAATCGAACCTGGGACACTTTGGTTCCCAGCCCGTGCTCAATCCACTGAGCTACACCAGCCAGGGCGACAACTTCTTAATAGTAAAAGTTGTGAGGTGATGGCGAAGGTAGTGAAAATGATTTTGGAATTTTTTTTCTTAGAAGTGTATTTTCAAATTGAGTATGTTTTTACCTTTGTGGGCTGGTTAGAAGAGGCCCTTCTCACCTGAGGGTGAGAAGCACCAGAGCTCTGAAAACTGTGAAATCTTTAGATGGAAAGAAAGACACTTTATGAACTGTGGGGTTGTGGGCAACAAAAGGAGGTAGACAAGGAAATCCAAGGAGAGCTTCTTGCATAGGCACAAGATGTGAATTGGGTTAACACGCAGGGATTCCTTTCCACCCCAACCCTCGGGCCACCAGATCGATACTATTCTGAAAATATATCCCCTGGTGTAAGCCAGCACCAGAACCTGGAACTTAATGGTTGTGTCACTGAGTTTGTCACTCTTCTCAAGCGGCAGGAATCACCACGGTGCTGACCATGTCCACGATCAGCTCTGGCATGAGAGCCTCCCTGCCCCAGGCGCCCCACATCGAGGCCGTGGATGTGTCCCTGTGGGGCGGTCCCTCTCTGTGTCCCTGTCAGTCATTGAGTGTGTAGCCAGGAACTACCTGCAGTGGAAGAACAGAAACAATTCTGGAAGTCATGGCAGGTATTCCCTCGCTTGATTGTCACATCCCTGTAAGAATGTGAGAAGATTGCCCACATCAAAAACCCTCTCCTGACAGGGTTGCTGGCCCTTGTGTTAAGTACACATCTCTTGTCACGATGCAAGTCTACATGATGTTGACAATTTAATGTCGACCTTTATGCTCTGTGCTGGCTGGTTTCCTCAGCCTCCTCCTTCACCTTTGCCAGGTGTTTTTTTGTGTGCTAACTCTATCACTAGAAAAAAGGGGGTTGATGTACAAGCCACATCCTTTTGAGTAGATGATGACAATAATAACAGCTAACATTTACTATGTATTGGCATTGCGCTAATCACCTAACATATTATGTCATTTAATTCTCAAAGTAAGCCCAAGAGATCGGTACTTTATTACTCTCATTTTATGGAAGTGAAATAGGAGAAGGTGAGTAGCAACTTGGTGTGCAAGGTCATACAGTTCGAGAAGAATCAGGATTTGCTTCTGAATCTCCCTGACTCCAGACTCTGCTCCCAACCAGTAAATGACATGCTTCTGTCTACCAGAAGCTGGGATTATTTTTCTCTTCTTTTTTCTCAGGAGAGTGGTAGAGCATAAAGGGTTCTTCTCATTGCAGCACACTGGGAATAAGGTGCCTCTGGGTTTTAAGTGTTATTACATGGCTTTGTGACATTGCTTAATAAATATGGGTAGGTTGATGTCTATCTGCTTTACTTCACAAAGGAGTGAGGCTGGAGTTCCTGTTATTATGAGAACTGACCTCCAATACTGTATTTCAGACACCTAACTGATCAAATTAATTTGTTTGCTAACATACACTTAAGAGAACATATCTGTAAATATATATATATATATACATTTATACACATACTTTTAATGTAATATATTCACATTGGTTTAAGAAGTTCTTATATGAGCATTTATATATACTCACAACATTACATTTTTTATATTTCTAGTGAGAGCATTTCATACTCTTCAGAATATTTTTATATCCTCCAAGCGAACCCTCATATCAGCTTCCTGATGTAGTCCTTGCAGAGGTTATTATCTCTATTTTAAAAATGAAGAAGCAAAGTTTCAGTAAAGTGATTTACCAAAAGTTTCACAGCCAACAGAGCTGCAAGGCAATTCAGTTCTCCTGCAATGCTAACTTTACCCTTTCATTTTACATCTTTTGAGTCAAAGCTATAATAGGAGCTGATTTTGCTTCTTTGCAGACACCTCAGCTTCTTTTGTCAAGCATGTGATTATGGGCCCCTGTCACACACATACCCCACAGTGACTGATATGCAGGTGGGAGAAAACCAGAAGCTTATAGATGTGTGCAATGGTGGGTGTGTGCGCATCACTTGGGATGGGGTACACTTTCCATTCAGCAGATCTGGGTTGGGACCTGAGAGTAAGAGCCCCGGGGGCTGCTGATCCACTGCACACGCTGTGGGTGCTGATGACTTAAATAATCTGTGAAGCTAAAGGTGACAGAGGAACCTGTGTGCCAAGGGAAAGAATTTGTTGTTCTTGTTTTGTGCTCTTGTTTTCTTTTTAAGTGGGGGTGGTGAACCCAAGAAAGGTGCAGTGAGTCATTACGGCAAGCCACTGTGTGTCCTTGACATATCTACACCTCCTCACCCCTACCTGCCACACAACACAGCTGTTCACTCTGGATTTTTTTTCACTTGATGGGGTTGTGCACAATTTCCTTGTGTACCACTAAAATAGAGGTTTTTGGGGGTTAATAAGTATCATTCATTTAAAAAATTATTTTTTGTTTTTAATTGCAGTAAAATACAAATAACATAGAACTTACCGTCTTAACCAAAAAGTGCATAGTTAAGTACTGTTAAGTGTATTCACACTGTTGTGCAACCAACCTCAAGAACTTATTTATCTTGTGACACTGAGATTCTGTACCCATTGAACTCCCCCACTGCTCCCTTCCCCCAGCCTCTGGAAACCACTGTTTTAAGCATCCCCCCTTAAAGATGCAATTATCTCGAAGAAATATTCTACCTCACATTCACATTTCGTTAGATAAAATGAAAGAGCACAAGATTTGAAGTCAGAAGAAGCAATGCCAAACCCATCTCTACCACTTTCTAGCTTTGTTTCCAGGTTGTTTCTCCTAAATTTCCTTAGATGTTTGCAAACCTGTGGAATTTCTTCCCTCACAGGGCTGTTATGAAGACCCAATGATGTAATCTAAAGGTCTACAGCTTTCACAAACATTAAAGTGCTACACAATAGTGAAATTCTTATTGTGATTAGTGCCCTGCACAAACGGTGTGAAGGAATAACAGGAGTTTTAATAGGAGTAGTTGAAACAGCTGAGATGAGAGATCTTCTAGGGGATAGAATGCCGTAGAAAGGGGCAGGGCAGGAGGATATGCCTGTGGGTTTGGAGCTAATCAATGATACCTCTCTTCTCAGGACTGGGAAACCAATTTTAGAGAGAAGAGAGGTGTATGAGCCAGACACATGGATACCATAATGTCACCTTTTTAATTGATAGAGCAGTTTGGGGAAAGTGACTTAGATTTATGAGCAGGAGGGCTTACTAATACTTCATCGCTGAATTAAACAGACTTATTCTCTTGGCCACTGGCTATGCTAGACAATTCAGGACTCTCCCTGTAAACATACTCTCCTTTTACCTTATTTCAGAAGTCAAACCTGGATACCAGTGCAGATTTCATAGTGAGGACTCTAAAGGGACTGGGGTCACATGTGCCAGTTCCTTCTGCCAAGTCCCAGGGGTGGGGTGATTGAAGGATGGCGAGAAAGGCCAGGAACGCTAACCTAATGGAGTTCCTATGAAATCATGAAGTCAGGCAAAGCCGCTTCCTACCACTACCACCACCACCACCACCACCACCACCACACACACACACACACACACACACACACACACACATGCACAGGTCTCAATCAACCACCCTAGATACTGGGAGCTGGGAGAACAGCAAAGAGCTGCAGGAAAATTGTCCCCAGTGTTGACCTTTCCCCGGAAGGAAAAAGGAAGCAATTTTCTTTCTTATTCCTTCATCTGAATATTTTCTTAATTCCAGGACTTAGAACTTAGTGTAAAACAGTGAACTCTATAGTTAAGATGTAATGTGTCTTAGCTATGTGCTAATTTATAGGCTGGAGTGAAAAATTAAAGACCAGTACTAAAAGTATTTCTTTTGGAAAAACCAACTTAAAAATTTGTAGAAATTAGCAGTCTACCAATGAATTGTATATTGAAAGATTTAATCAATTACAGACAGTTCTAACTTATCATAATGCAGAAAGAAACTGGCCCCCTTGCTCTTGCCAGAAGATTATCTCTCCTCTAACACAATAACGACATTTTTGCTGGGATGAAACAGCAGATGTCCAGTAGGTGGGATGACTCAGCAGTATGCAGGGGGTCCAGCAAAACCACTGAGGGGATGGTATATAGTTACTCTATCATCAGGTCAGAGTTGAATATATTGTTAATGTTATTAAATGGCTACCTGAGATTAGTTATTCAGTCTTGATCTCATTTCATGTTTATTTTGTCCATTTTCATTTTATTATGGAAAATTTCTACAATTAAAATAAAAAGGGACAACATAATTTGGTATGGGACCCTGGTTGGTTTAACTGCACAGAATAGTCTCCATGTCTTTTTATTTTTAAATTTTTAAACACTAAAGTTTTTTTGGTTGATTATAAAGGACAATTTTATTTAATTACAGTTCACATTCAATATTATATTAGTTTCAGGTGTACAGTGTAGTGGTTCGACGTTATATAACTTTATGGAGTGATCCCCTTGATGAGTCTGGTGCCCACCTGGCACCATACATGGTTATCATGGTATCACTGACTGTGTTCCCTGTGCTCTACTTTACATCCCCGTGACTGTTTGTGATTACCAGTGTGTACCTCTTAATTCCCTCCCCCTTTCACCCAGACCCCAACACCTCTCTCATCGGGCAACCATCAGTTTGATCTCTGTATCTGTGAGTCTCTTTCTATTTTATTCATTTTGTTTTTCAGATTCCACATATGAATGAAATCATATGGTATTTGTCTTTCTTTGCTGACTTATTTGAATTTAATAAAAAATTAGGTTTTTAAATCACCGTGAACCAAAGACACATTTTAGCAGAATTTATTCTGCTGCCTCTAAAATGAATTCTGAATAATTTCATCCAGTAGTAGCCTGTTCATATTTGTTCATTTTTTAACTGCCCTGTAGGTCAAGAAGTGATTTTGTTTGTTCAGAAAGCAGTTAGTAGCTGCTGCCTCCCAGTCAGTGCTCTGTAACAAAGAGAACCACTATCTCCCTCAGAGTAAAACCGTAAAGAGAAATGGCAGTTTACGTTCAACCAGGCCCTGGAGCCAGCAAGCACTGGTAATTCACTCCTTCCAAAAAAATAAGCCAACTTTTCAAGTTGTTTAATTGGGTTGTGTTAACATCATTTATAGGTACTTTTCAGCAAAAATTAGGATTGACCAATTTGCATTTTAAAAGAGCAGCTAAAGTCACTACCTACACCCACCCCAAACTGAAGCATAAATGGATCACCAGATGATATTGTTGTTTTTGGACAAAAACACACTGACTGGGCTAATGTGATGTTTTCTCTGAAGAGAAAAAATACATTGAAAAGCAAACCCAACTGGCTTATATTCCTTTCTGATAAATCATGTTCAATTTCAACTCACAAACTTATGCCAAACATTTCATACTACCTAGAAACAAAGGGGGAAATCTGAAACGGTTTCTTTTTGGGGAAACACAGGAACAAGTAACAGTCTCTCTGGCAGGACTAAATTAGAAAACTCTGACATTATAGTTTTGTGACATTTATTTGTGTAATGCTCAAACACCTCTATTGAAAAGAGTATAAACCTTGCTAAATCCCTATTAAAATAGATCTCCAAGATAATGTTTTCCATTTGTTATGTTTTCCCATTTATTATTAAAGCGACTTTTAGTCAGACACTAGAAGCAAAACCAGAAGTCTTTAAAATAAGCAAAACATTCTTAGCATTTATTGAAACTATTTTTAAATCCTGATTGTTTAGATTTGTACTATAATTCCTATTCATTAAAACTATATTCATGACTTACTAACAAGTCTTTTTATCAGATTTCTGGGATGTACAATATTGATGCAGTTCAAGCTATGGCCTTTGATGGTTGTTACTGTGACAGTGAGACTGACAGGGACCAGACTTCCTTTTCTCTCCACTCAGAAGAAGACTCCATTGGAAGAAGAGTCACAGGCAGCCTCGGTGCAGATTCACCTCCGATGAAGGAAAGAAAATCCCTCAGAGGGCACGTTGGTAGAATCATTCTGAACAACCATGTCACTGACACCTAGTCCAGGATTTTATTCCCCACTGCGTATATTATATTTAATTGGTTTTACTGGGGAATATATGTATGAAGAGGAATTCCCAATATATAAAACTTGTTTTGGAGTCTGATTATATTCAACAACAACTGACTGTACATTGGACAGGGAGGGCTAGAGTAAACTGAGAGTCAGCCCATCATGCCTCCCGGCCCGAAGATTTGAAAGTTGACTGCTCTCCATCTAGGAGAGTTTAAGGTCTTAGGAGAATCTGACTCCATAAATAAGAGTCCCAGGCATGCGTATTATAGAAAAACAATTTCTACAGGTTAGGGCTTTGTAACTGCTTCATCAGCACCCTCCCTGCTTCCTAAATATAAATTTCCTATATTTAAGACATAAAACTGGACTGTGACAGTAATGCAAGGGGACTTTGTTCCTCTGTGCTAGCCAAGTGCCAAATTACTGAACAGAGCTGAACCCTCGTAAGGAAGAACATCAATGCAGAGGAGGTGCCACGGGACTCTTGCGCTGCTGAGATGTCCATGAAGACCGTCCCTCTACCATCCCCAGTCAAGTCCTTTATGCCACTGATACATTTCTTATGTTATTGAGTTCCAAGGGGGACAAAAAACTGTAAACTTCACTCACTCTTCCCATCCTAATGTTAAATTAATACATCACACTTTGATAATAGGATCTTATATTTTGCAGTTGAGGTATTGTTTTCATAGCTTTTTGGTGGTTTTTAATTAGTTGCTTTATCAAATATTTATTGACCTCCTACATGTTCCAGATACTTTATTAGGTGTTATGTACTAAGAAAAAAAAAAACCCAGAAAGAATACAAAATTGGGGCAGGAGATAGTCAGGAAGGAGGAAACTCCGGAGTTGCCCCAGGGCTAAGACAAAGGACATCAATACAGGACAGAGACCCTGTTCCACTTTCTGGAAAAGCACTGAATCATGGTGAATTATGAATGTACCTGCACAGAAGATGCTACATGGCCCCTGTTTCATTATAATATCATTATAATAAATTAACATTGTGGGACTCCCTTCCCTGCTGGCCAATCAAGGAAAATTATGGGAGACCACATGCACTGTAGCTTTAAAGTAATATAACTAGTTGTACAGGTGCAATAAAACCCCACCAAGACTAGCCAGGAAATGTCTGCCCTATAAGAACAGAATCCCTCCAGCCTCTGAGGTCAGTCTCTGCTCAGAGTTGGCCCACTCCTATTTTCTGTGGAATGTGCTATCACTTAATAAATCTGGTCTCTTTCTTTCTGCTATAAACTTTCTGTGTGTTTGGTTCAATTCTTTGCCAGGATCACCAAGAACCTGGTTATGTGTGCCCACCTGCAACAGAATAACATTCCTACCATTAGTGAGTGCAAGAACAGTGAACTGGTAGCTGTAAGAAGTGACAAATGCAGTGGATGTTGAATGAGAGGTTTCTATACTGTACTGAGTTTTGAAAAGGGGGTACCAAAAGAAGGAAATTATTGTTCATGAAGGGTTACGGGCTCTCAATTTATAATCAACTGAAGATGCTTCCAAATGTGGTATTGAGTGACAAATTGAATAAAATTTATATATCCCATAGTAATCTTTGGTAACTTGGGTTGAACCAAATAAATCAGGTCAGGTTGGTATTAAATATATGTTTGTTAAGCAGAAAAACCTCCAATGGTGAGTATTAATTTTGTGTTGACTGGCAGTGTGCAGACTTTTGTGTTGAATATTTTGTGAAAAAGATTCCATTTAGAGATAAGCCCTTCATAAGAAGTATAATATATTTCCCTTCCTATTTTGATTTCTGGGATTGATGAAGGGAAATAAGTTAAACATTATTATTTTAGTGTATTCACATTTATTTCACTATAACGTGAACTAGAATTATTTGAATTATTTCATGCCAGTGAAGAGACAAATAACTTCCTCCCTGTTTCCTGATAACATTGGTCTTGATCTTTGCTGTGAATGACACAGTGTTCTAGAAACTTATCTTCCCCTTGGGTGTAACAGATTTAAAAGCAAATTCTTTTTCTATTATGACTTCCCTCATGGGCAGGTTAATTCTAGAATAATTCATTTTACTTTCTTAATATAATTTTTCCCATTCTTTCAGAACTTTCCAAGGATTATATTTTTCTAGGAAACCATCCAAACTTGACCTAATATAATTTATTTAAAACTTTTCTCCATTTAACTGTAGGTAGACCATAAGTAAAATTTATAACTATTTATTTAACAGTTTTTAAGTTTTACCTAGAAGAGATGGTATTTTTGCACAATGGCATTTTTACAGAACAGATTAATATTTTAGGTGGCTCTTTAAGAATTTGTTACCATTATTTAAGCAGAGCACTATCATTGGATTAATATTTCTGATTCTGACATACTCTATATAAAACTGGTGTTTTTTTTTTAAAGGACAGATCATAAATAAACAGAACAAATCTACACTGCTCCCTTCTTCCCACTCTGGTCCTTCAGATGTTGCTATTTTTCTTCTGCTTTGAACTATAACATTCGGGAAGTCTAATGCTTCCCCTGAGCATATTCATTTCACAGTTTTAAATCACATGCATCACTGGATACATTTGGCAATCTAGGCTCCAAGAGTGGGTCTCTATCATGCTGCACACGCACTTGGCATTGCTCTTAAGGAGCAGTAATACCGAATTGTTGGCCAATCAAACATAACTTTATTAATGTCTAGAAGTGCAGGCACTGTATTCTTTAGTAATAAATGTCTAACAATGAAGAATAAAGTATATTTACTGCTCGAGAGAATTATTAGAGCATTCAGAATGAGCTCGGGGGTTTTAGCCAGTTTCTTCTCCTCACGCTCGAGGCTGGTGTGTCTGTGTGAACGGAGGTGTTCTTGTGAGCTTCATCTCAGTCGGAGAGCAATCCTGGTTCTGTTCTTACTGCAGGAAGAATGAAATCATGTTTATGTGGGAAATATGTGAGTGACAGATGGCATGTAATAGTTAACTTATTTTGATTTTCACTTCATTAACTGATCACGATCTGACACAGACCATGTGTGATTGCGGGTAAGCTTGGATAAAACTCAAGGATATCAGAAATTAAGCTACTTTCTGAGAGCAAGAAACAGCCAACCACCTCACACCTGCCTAAATTTAGAAATGGGCTATTTTGTAGGACTGCTCTGGAAAAGCTAGGAAGGGATGTATTTTTTAACTTAATTTTATTGTTTTTGTTCTGATTACAAAAGAGATACAATTTCATTATAAATGTAAAAAACCAATTGACAAAAGAGGAATCATCTGCACAGAATTAAAGTTAACATTTTAAAGTATAGTCTTAGAGTTTTTCTATGCATAATATATATCTTTCCACTGGAACCATTTTGTATATATTTTATTTTATTTATTTTTTTAAAATTACACTTATTTATTTTTAGAGAGAGAGGAAGAGAGGGAGAAAGAGAGGAAGAGAAACATCAATGTGAGAGAGAAACATTGATCAGTTTCTTCTTCTGCAAACCCTGACCGGGGAAGCAGTCTGCATCCCAGGCATGTGCCCGGAATGGGATTCAAACCAGTAACTCTTCGCTTTATGGAAGGATGCCCCAAGAACTTGGCCACACTAGTCAGGGCTATGCTTTAATTTATTAATTTAAACACATATCACAACAAACACTGTGCTGGGGCTATGGTAACGAGAGATGGACCTAGTCCTTAACTTATTAAACTTTCATTCTATTTAGGAGAGTGTCTCCATTAAATCATTTGTAATCAGATTTTATTCTGTGGATCATAAACACATTTCTTTTATTTAAAATTTTTTTTTCATAAACAACTGTTATGCCATTTCCCCCCCTGCAAACTAGCTTTATATGCTGCAGAGCAGTCCACTGATTGGGTTTACCATAGTTTTTAAAAAAATTATATTATATTATACTATATTTTATTATTTATTTATATTTTTAAAAAAGGTATTTATTTTTGTAGACGGGATGGGGGGGAGAAAGGAGAGAAACATTAATGTGTGGTTGCCTCTTGAGCACCCCCTACTGGGGACCTGGCCCACACAGTGGGCCATGTGTTCTAGACTGGGAATTGAACTGGCTACCTTTTGGTTCACAGGCCAGCACTCAATCCACTGAGCCACACCAGCCAGGACAAAAAAATTATACTTTATTGATTATGCTGTTAAAGTCCCAATTTTCCCCCCTTTGCCTCCCCATGCCCAGCAACTCCCATTTCCTCAGGCAATTCACACACCTTTGTTCATGTCCATGGGTCATGCCTACAAGTTCTTTGGCTACTCCATTTCCTGTACTGTACTTTACATCCCGATGGCTATTCTGTGTCTCCAAATTTGTACTGCTTAATCCCCTCATCTCTTGACCCATTCCTCACAGCCCCTTCCATCTGGCAACCATCAAAACACTCTCCATATCCAATGATTCTGTCTCTGTTCCTGTTTGCTTACTTTGTTTTTCAGATTCAATTGTTGATAGTATGTGTTTATTGCCATTTTATTGTTCATAGATTTGATCTTCTTTTACTTAAATAAGTCCCTTTAACATTTCATATAATAATGGTTTGGTGTTGATGAACTCTTTTAGTTATTCTTGTCTGAGAAGCTCTTTATTTGTTCTTCAATTGTAAATGATAGTTTGCTGGGTAGAGCAGTCTTGACTGTAGGTCCCTGCTTTTCATGACTTTGAATATTTCTTGCCGATCCCTTCTAAACTGCAAAGTTTCTTTTGAGAGATCAGCTGACAGTCTTATGGGAACTCCCCTATAGGTAACTAACTGCTTTTATCTTGCTGCTTGTAAGATTCTCTCTTTATCATTAACCTTTGGCATTTTAATTATGATGTCTCTTGTTGTATGCCTCTTTGTACCCATCTTGTTTGGGACTCTTTGTCCTTCCTGGACTTGCATGTCTATTTCCTTCAACAAATTAAGGAAGTTTCCTTCATTGTTTTTCCAGATAGGTTTCCAATTTCTTACTGTTTCTCTTCTCCTTCTGGCATCCCTGTGATGCAAATTTTGGTATGCTTGAAGTTGTCTCAGGAGTTCTATCCTTGTTTTTTAATTTTTTTA